ATCCTCGTTCTTGCAGACTGAACATTAAAACTAAAGACCTGGGAAATTAAAGCAAAGTAGAAAAGGCTCTGTTCTCCGTGGGAGGCCTAACAGATGAGGTTACTAATGGATGAGGGTAGGTGAAATCCATGATTTATAAAAGGAATAATGTTGCGCTCTCCTGCTGTGAACTCGCAGGCTGGATTCCCACCAGGCGTGGTGAACATCATCCCCGGCTATGGGCCCACTGCGGGGGCTGCCATCTCTTCCCACATGGACATAGATAAAGTGGCCTTCACCGGCTCCACGGAGGTAAGGGAGTGCTTTAACTTTTAAGCCCTTGGGATAAAGAGAATATCTCATTGCTGTAATACCTTTTCTGTATAAAATGCTGGAGGTGCCTTGCCTTCTACACTTCTTTTTTAAAAAAAATACAGCTGACACCAGGGTGTGATACTTATTTTTACTTTACATAAGACTTTTTTAGAATACTTCCTGTTGTTTTCCTTGAGCTGCTTCTTACTAGAGGTGAAACTCTAGGCAGAATTCAGTTGTTCCCTTAAAGCCCTGACAATGAAGGGATTATTATTAAACCGCTGACTGAGATCTAAAAGCAGCCGCCCTGCCGGGTGTTGCTGTATGTAGGAGATAATTCCTAATACCTGTTCTTCTCACCATGCAGGTTGGGCATCTGATCCAGAAGGCTGCAGCAGAGAGTAACCTCAAGAGGGTGACACTGGAGCTTGGAGGAAAGAGTCCAAATATAATCATGTCTGATGCAGACAGTAAGCACCTGCTAGCATAATATTTGATCTGTACCTTTTACATTTGCTTTCTGCAAACAGAGCTGGAGGGGAAAGGAAACCTCTCCTGTGTTGTACGAGGCTTCAGCTCCAACACCACCTGGCTGTTCTCATCCGGTGAAGTCTCCGTGCCTCCAGCTGTAGCTGCTGTATTTGTGTATCAGCACTTCTTCACAGCCTTGAGAAAGAAGTGGGAGTGAAGAAGCTCAGTTATCAACAAATGAAAATTGTTTCAGTATCTTCCCTCAGTCTTAGTTCCATTTTTGTTTTCACTTCTTTCTCTTAGTGCGTACCACTCTTTTCTAGTCTTGTGAAGTTCTGGTTCCTTCATCTCTTGCATATAGACTCATTTTTGGTCTTGAAGAGCATGCATGTTATGTGTTTTTATGTGGCAGTAAGGAAGGAAATTCTTCTAGATCTGAAATAACTTATCCTTAATACCTGATAATTTCAAATGAGAACTGTAATATGCCTCAGATTAGATTTTTTTCTCTCCAGTATGGGGTGCTTTAACAGACCCTCACACTAATTAAATCTGTGTGTAACTTCTGCCCTCCCAAAGCATGGAAAATGCCTGTCAACTGGAAGGACTTTGTATCACTGATCCTCCAGCAGTCTGCATGATAATTGTTCCAAAGAAGTCACTTACCCACTCTGGTTGGTTTTGTTTGCTTATTTGTTTTCCCTCCTCTCCCCAATTTTAGTGGACTGGGCTGTGGATCAAGCCCATTTTGCCCTCTTCTTCAACCAAGGGCAGTGTTGCTGTGCTGGATCCCGAACATATGTCCAGGAAGATATATATCATGAGTTTGTGGAGAGGAGTGTTGAGAAGGCCAAGTCCAGGGTGGTTGGAAACCCGTTTGACTTTAAAACTGAACAGGGGCCTCAGGTAAGAGCAGGAAATGTCCTGAACTGTTATCTCATTAAATAGTCCCAATCTTCAGTCACCGTGCATCAGTAGATTAGAATAAAAGGTATCCTTCGGTCTCTTGATTAATCTCCTTTGAACTGTGCCAATTATCTCCTTGCTTGTGCAGAAGGGAGAAGTTAATTAACTGTTCTGATTATTCCAAAACCTCCACTTGACACTGGCATTTAAAAGTTATCATCTCCCTTTGAAGCTGGCTTGGCAGTGTGTTGAAATGAGGAATTGCTACAGCACAGTCACATGCACAGCAGGTCGTAGTCAAATCTTTTTTTTCACCCCCAGTAAAGGTGAAGCTGATCTGTCTCTCCTCCCGGCTCTTAGGTAGATGAAGAGCAGTTTAAGAAGATCCTTGGTTACATTAGCACTGGGAAGCGTGAAGGAGCCAAACTGCTGTGTGGTGGCAACCCCGCTGCAGACAGAGGCTATTTCATCCAGCCAACTGTCTTTGGCGACGTGCAGGACAACATGACGATTGCCAGAGAGGAGGTGAGACCTGCAGCGCCTTTCTGTCTGTCAGCTTCTCACTTCTTCATCGTTTTGCCCCCTCTGATGCAAAAAACCACAGGTCTACAAGCACCAAACACTCATGAACTGCGAAACTCGATGCTTTTTAGGAAGTTACCACATTTAACTTACACATCCTGGGCACTTCATAATTCAGGAAGCGATACTTTGAATTTGATGTCTTGTGTGACTTGTAGCATACATACATAACTCCAGCATCAACCACAGCTTTCCCCGTGATCAATTTATACAGGTTTTCACGTGTTCTGTTTGGATTTTGCAGATATTTGGGCCGGTCATGCAGATTCTGAAATTCAAAACCATTGAGGAAGTCATTGAGAGAGCAAATGACTCCAAGTACGGCCTAGCGGCAGCAGTCTTTACAAAGGATCTGGACAAAGCAAACTATGTGTCACAGAGCCTACGAGCTGGAACAGTTTGGTGAGCCTTGACACTTCCTTCTCCTTAAACTGCTGGAAGTTTCCTTATGTGCTGCCATTTCTCATTAAGTTTGCTCTTTGATAGCCTGTCTCTACTTTGGACCCAATTTTATGTGTACTTCACTGAATGTAAGGTCAGACCTCCGATTGTAACTCTAACTGTTGGTAAAATTTAGGTATATTAAGCTTCCATGCTCCCACTGTGAATTAATGAATGGGATGGAGGGGAAAAAGAACTCCAGTACTGCAGCTGGCAATGACAGCAACTGCTGCAGGGCTCTGAGTGCCAGCAGGGATTAGATCACCGAGCACGTCCGTGCAAAGTCTTGGCTGCTGCAGTGGCTGTTCCTCTGTGTTCTGAGGCCGTGCTGAAGACTACGCCAGTATTTCAGTCAGTACTTCAACACCAGTTTACTGTTCTAGCACAAGAGATTTTGGAGATCCGGTATCTCACTGGTTTTTTTTTTTTTTTTAAATGGCACCGAGTGGAGAAGTAGGTGCTTTTGGTGTCTGTCCTCTGAAGGAGGTGTGGGTGGCAATCTGGAAGCTTGGTCCTGTGATAATAAGAGACCTGAACCGATTCCATGATGTTCTGTTTCCTGGTTGATGAGGATAAGGTTTCAGTATTGATTAATTCTGTTGGCTGAGAGAACTGACAAATATGAAAATCCTGCCTAGAAATTCAGCCATCCCTCTGTTGTAAATGGCTGAGATGTCCATGTGCTGTGAAAGGGCTCTTCCATTAAGCAGTTCTGAAACTACAGGTGCTTAATTCTTGGTTTCCATTTCAGGATAAACTGCTACGATGTGTTTGGTGCACAAGCCCCATTTGGCGGCTACAAAGCTTCTGGGAATGGGCGAGAGCTGGGAGAATATGGTCTGGAGGCGTATGTGGAAGTGAAAAATGTGAGTATCCCTGTATCCAAGGTCTTCCCAACCCTCTGCCATAGCTCTGAATTGCTTTTGTGCCTGTTGGTATAGGCTGGCCTGATAGTTGCAATTCTTCCTTCTAATGTTTGAAACAAAATTGGAGCTGCGCTTCTGAAGTAACTGCAAACACATCTCCGTGTAACTGTTTTTAAAACAGAAAGCCAGCCTCGCTTTGTGCTGCTGTGGAAAACAAGTATACGTGACTTAAAAGATTGCCTGCACCACTTGGCACCGTTCAGCTGTTTTTCACTGTAAAGAATGCAAGTGTATGGACTTCTCCCTGAGTTTATTTTGTGCCGAACAGGAAGAGCGTGTGCTGGGGGTGCATGCCTGATGGGTAGAAGCTTCTGCAGGTACAAACTAGCGGATGAACACTGGGTACTCAACGGTCAAGAGGGGGAATCTCAGCAGTGACCACCAGTACTTGATGCCGCCCTCGTGAGTTGATACTCCCTTGGGTCCACGTGCGAGACCAAGGTTCCTGGTGTTAGGCAATCCCCTCGCCGCAGGCTGAGTAATTTCCTGTAAGACAAGGCAGAAGGGCTGTCACACTGTCTGCTTGCAGCTGCGATGTCTAAAGGGTGACGGAGCTCTTGGGCAGAGATGGGTAACCTGTGGCCCCGGAGTTACAATACAGCAAAGTGTGTAACAGTTGAGGGTCTCCAGCTTGTGACTGGCAGGGGGCTGATTTGGTACAGGAGCCCAAGGTGAAAACAAAGAAGTGTGCCTGCTCCCACCTCTCAAAGAGCGGTGGCATCTCTGGAGAGATGCTGTGACCCAGCCTTTCAGCTTCCCCTCCTCCTCTTTGAGCCTTCCAGACAGGTCTTCAGGGTGATCCCAGTCACTGACCACTGACCGGGGTATACTGTCCTCTGGTTCTCCTTCTCTTCTGCAGGGTGCTGCTCCCTCTCGGCTCTCAAGTGAATATAACTGGACACTGTCTCCAAGAAAATAACTTGTCACTTTTCTTTTTTTTTTTTTTCTAGGTGACGATCAAAATCCCACAGAAGAACTCCTAAAGGACAGCAGTCTCTCTCTGAGTTTGGAAACGCCTATGCAGCTTCATGAGATACAAAGCAAGGAAGCCTCTTCTTAACACACACAAAACTTAGGTGGAAAATATGTAACTCTACGTTTTAGAAGGTACCTGAAGGAGCTTTTGTTAAAAAAACATGACTTGGCTTTATCTTTTTAAAATACCAAATACAGTCGAGTACTAATGCATTACAGGGTGTACACTCGTTGCATCTGTATCTGATGAATATGCTTTTTTCAATAAATCACTTAAATGCTTGTGTACTCTGGAGAGGTTTTGTAATAACCCTTTGGTGGCTTACACAGCTAGCTCTATACTCCTTGTCCTATACACCTAACACATACCTCCCTCTTCTGTAGGAAAAGCGAGCTGAGACTCAGGAGAGCAACCTCTCGGCCTCCATCTGTGAGGTAAAAGTTTGTCCCCTGTGGCTCCCATTGAACCTGCTCACAATAAACATTCTCATCTTAGTGAAGTTAACCCTCTCTTCATTGGAGCAGTTCGTGTCAGTGAGCGAAGCAGGAGCTCAAGCGCAGCACAAATTTCTATTTTGTTCCACCCACCAATTACCCCCTGCCTCAAAAAATTTTAAAGGTTTTTGCAGACTTCCCACACGGCCTGCTTTCCCCATCTTGCCTTAACGTTAAAGGCAGCCCTACCTCTGCTACCCGTCCCCGGCAAAGCTCAGAGAAGAGCCGACCGCACCAGAACAACAAAGCATCGGGGGTGGGGGGGAAATCAGTGCCTCAGCGAGGGCGTTGGGGCTGCGGTGGGAGACGCTTTTATCGTGTGGCCATCAGAGTGAGACCTGCGCTGGAGGGCGGGTGTGCTGTGAGGGGCAGACGAGCCCGCGGAGGGTACGAGGCGAAGGCCGACGGCAACCCCTTCCCGCCCTTCCCGCCCCTTCCCCTCAGGCCGCCAGGCGGCCGCCGCGCCCCGAGATCTCGCGAGG